TGCAAGCCTCGTTGTGGCTCGAGTAGCGATCAAGAGTGAAAGCTTTGGCTCATCACCTTGCCAATGACGAAATCGAGCGGCCGGTTGTGGGATGGGTCTAGACTCTAGAGCAATATGCTACGTTTTCTTTCCTTGAATGTTCGGATGTTGTTGCGTTTAGATATGAAGGCCGCCACTACTAGACCACTCGCTTCTCACGCTGCGACTCGGTCGGCCGGAGCTACTCCGACCGACCGAGAGTGCTCCAACGGATCATCTCATCGTGCACCTTTCTGTTTGAGGACTTCGAATCATTTCAAGACCCATCTTAATCCATCCTGGAAACCCTTGGGATCTCGTGAAACCATTGTGACCGTCACGTGAAACGTGGAGATTTGTATGTCTGTAGTCGTACCAATGCATGCTGCGGCAGTGTAACCCATCAGCGACAAATGCAACTCTTCCCTAGCGGGAATTCCCGGAAAGAAAGTATGATAAACCTTCTCGAGAATAATAACCACTATTCTTCCCCTAGTAGTACTGGGTAACCCAGGACAGTTCTGGCAGGACTGCACGGAGACTCACTGTCGGCGACTCATCGACGGAGGCTATGACTTCGAAAGGAAAGCTGCATGGAAAATCCTTCCACCACGCTGCCGGCGGCAGCCTGCCGCCCAAAATATGGCTCACGAGTAGATCAAAAATGGCTCGTTTTTGGCATTTTTTATCGAGTTCAAGGTTAGATCATCTACCGAGCGTTCTTGTCATCCTGCGAGACATTCACGACATTATTACTAGCGGGGAGTGTCCACTCAGAAGAAATATCATTAATACCATCAGTGATGGACCATCACTCCGTTTGTGTATCAGCAACAAGGTCATCATTCACTATTGTTACCAAATACATTTCATGGAGAAACCTCGACCCCGACCATGCCCATTCCAGGTGTTGTTGAGTCAACTGAAATCTTATCAGCCCCCTTCGCGGAAGCGGGTCCCGGCTGGCGGTTCGGTCTGCCTCCTGCTGTGCTCACTCGAGCTCTGTGGTCGTAGAAAATGTGCGGCTTCCTCAACTGGGCGGGTACTGTCTAGACTATCCCCACGGTTGATGATCAAGTTCGTCACATCAATCGGCTCATGAGGTGCCTGTTTCCTCGGCACGTGACTACCGTGACCCGATTGCATATATCTAAGAGCTAACGAATTTGTTTTATCAGCGCGCGTACTTCACTTGATCAGATCAAGTTGATCTCCCCTCACTTGTTCGAGCATTCTATCAGTATTTCGCACTGTATCGGCACAGTAGAACTGCGCCATAGTGACCTCAAGTTATCGCGCTTGTGGGGAGGCAGGTAACTAGGGGAATATTAAAGAAGCCCCCGAAAGCTTTGACCACACGCTCCCGGCTGTCAACTATACTTGGGATTACTATTTCAGCTACCTTCTCAAATCTGGCGCGAATAGCTTTCAGCTCGGCGGGAGAGATATTTGCTGACACGCGGTTCTATTTGCCCAAGACCCTTGATAAAGCTACTTTCTTGAAGAGTGCCAGCAAATTCCTGAAAGATTATCCTGTTGACGGTTTTCAAGTGGGTTTACAGTTATCAACTGATCCCAGTGAATACCCACTTTTTAAGGAGCTCATTGAGGCAATCAAGGAGCTCAACGTACGGGCATGCTTGAAGTGAGTCAGCAAATAACTCGGTGCATGGGAATCCATGAAACATGGGCCATGTTCTGGTCACTAGCTCCAACCGTTATTCCTGCATGCTAGGCTATCCATCTTACCAAGTGACTGGCAGAGAATGAATGGAATAGCAGAGATGGTCGATAGTGCCGTTATTATGTTGTGACCAGTTTTTCAGAAGGAGGTAGAAGCCTTCAATACGGATCGTTTCGCCGAAGACCTGATCAAGAATGCCGTCAAAGCTGGCTTGAATCCCAATAAGCTCATCCTTGTTGTAAGTGTGTGCGACTTTCACAATCTTTAGTCCTTAGCTGCCGTGACTGTAGTACTGAGCAAATTACCGGGGACATCAGTGCTGTCTGCGATAGAGAGTTTTCCTCGAAGTCACCTTCTCCATTGGAGGCAGTGTTCGTGTTTACTGTTACAGACTCTGAGCTACTCGACTTAGGTTGTGTGGCGTAAAGTTCAGCGTTGTTTTTCAGGTACCGCTACTTGCTAGATCGAACTACGAGAGCTCAGACATAGGATACTCGAATGCGATCTACGACCTCGGCGTGGATCCAAGAGAACACGCTGACGAGAATATCGCTACTGTGGACATAGAAATCGGTACTGGATCCTGGCAGTGAATGAGATCCTACCCATATACAGTCAGCCTAGCTCTGTTATCACGCTCAACGTGATCCTAATGCTCAACTTGGGCACTACTACTAGTACTACTGGCAGAACCCAACCTTCCCCCTGGCAAGGCTGGAATTGCCATATCCTGGCTCTGCTCCGAGCAGTATATTGATACTATCGCCAGGACGGTGACTGAAGATGATGCTCCGAGCCTGAATAGTCCAGTAGCGAAATCCAGAACGTGATCCCCGAAGGATTCAAGCATCGAATTCGCTGCGAGTCGAGCCTACTGTAAATGTTTTGCAGCTCTTGTTGGAAGGCCACGGGGTCACTAGGTGATTGTATTTTTAGGTCTAAATCATTTCTAGTGACGGTAGATTATACTAGTATTGCGGTTCGCACTATGCGAGGTTAACGGTTAGATAGTCTATTAGAATGGCAACTCGCTAGTAGTGAGTCGCTGTCTAAGTTAGTAACTTGAACTTCAAAAAGTGCGGGCCTCGCATTCTTCGCGCAATCGGAGGAAAATTTACTTAGGGAATTCCTTGGTCAGAAGCTACCCATTGGGTAGTACCCGATAGCTAGAAACCCAATAGCGGAAAGAAGAAAAGCACGGCGTCGAGCGAGTATCGACATTACCAATGCACCTCCCACATCTTGCATATTGTTGTGTAACACAACTTGTGTTTGAGTTCGCACAGAAGGAGAACCTTCTGTGCCCCTACTTGCCGTGTCGTATGCTGGAGGTCAGGTTGGAATGATTCTCTAAGGTCATGCTACCCTCGCAGGATAATAAACCACGATGTCTCGAACATCGAATCGATTAGTACGCCGCGTACTGTACGCGCATATCGCTGACAACACAACGTCCGGCAAATCTATCAACTGAGAAAGCTATTTCTTGAAAACTTCGGAGTCCATCCTTAGATCTTGAAGAATTCGACACACATCGGTTTATATCCGACACCTCGTTTATACGCGACTTGCTGACGTTCAGGAAATGCAACCGGTTTCAACCGTTGAAACCGTGCCAGGGAGTTGTCTTTTGGCGAAACCTGGTTTGGGACAGCGATTGACACAATCGCTGTGGGCACAAGGGGATAACCTGAGTCCTTCAAGCTGCCAAGCTATTCACACAAGCCAGACTGTCTTGACAACCTGGAGTAGTATATGTGTTAAGCGTGATATTTTTTTAACCGAGGTCTCCGATGTAGGTCCTAGGGTAACTCCAGGTAGCAAGCCTCCGTGGCTTACGACAGAAGCTTAATATCCTGAGTGTCCTTAGTGTACCTTGCGTGTCATCCTCCGCAGTGCCCAGGTGGCACACGTGAGTCTACACGCGCCCTGCCACAACTCGGAGGCTAGAGCTTTCATTTTAGGGAAATTGCGAGTTCCAGTATCTTCATGGTGAGTGATATGAAAGACCAAAACTTTTTTTCGCTCTACCGAAGTCAGTTGAAGTCACACAGTATCCACTATCAGAAAGTATCAAAATCTTGTTGGGAAATCGTTCGAAGTCGTACGGTATGGTAGATGCCGAGGAACTTGCTGAGGAGCCTTGAGGACTCTTTCGAGTGCCTCATCACACAGGAGCTTATGGTTGGTCCTGTTACTCTGATGGAGACTGAGTGGACTCACCAACGATCAACTATTTGCAGGATGTTCCGGAATAGCAACAATCTTCCCGTTGCCAATTTGCCCAGTGAAAATTTTGTACCGACAGGGGAAAAATTGTGCGGTGCCGAGTAGATTTTGTGCCGGAAAAGGATGACAACCGAATTTACTCATTTGTGGGCGATGGATTGAGTTTTTTTTGTGAAGCCGGCGCGACTACCACCCTGAAACAGAGTGCCTGATCAGAGCCGAGTTTACTGTATAACCTCAATTCTACTCAGCTGTGGCTTGTACTCACGTGCGAGAGAGGTTTATCCTGAAATCCTTGTGTTCAGCACAATGTGTTGTTACATGAACGAAACACACGGTATCTTACGAATTGTTCCTTACTGCTCATGAATTGTCTCCTTTTCCGAGCAACACCGCTGAGATGCTCCGCATTAACATATCTTCGCGATGTCAGTCATACGCCCAATCTCTGTAGTGATGCCGCGGGCGTGCCGTTGGCGTGAAGAGGAACGTGTATCCGTTCGATTGCATCACAATCTTCGGATTCCCATCAACAAACTCTTCAGGTTAAATCTTATTCGTGATGCCTCTTGCTTACGGCTCCCTCTTGCTTGCCACTGTGATGGAAGCAGCCCTAGGAGTACCTGATACCCGTTTCCAGATTACTGCTGACTATCCACCGGGTTGTAATGGAGGTCCTGGTCCAGGGGAGGGAAGCAACATTATCGATATCCTAGCGCCTTCCTGCATTTACAACATGGGGGGCTATGCAACCGATGGAAGTTATACAGAAGTTGCCGCGATCAGGCTCAACACTAACAGGCCTGGGCATTATGGCAGCATGGCACTTAACCTCGTTGTGTCTAGCGCGACTGGTGCCAAAGAGCCCAATATCTCAGTGCTAACGACTGGTTGGGCTCACCTGAGTGTCGGTGATCAAACCAGAGACTTCTGGTGGAACCCAGCTCCAGGCAGGCACTTCTACGGTCCATATCCTCGTGAAGTGTACCCCCAACTTTCAACTATCGACTTTGGTACCCTCCCTCGTAACGTGAGCATTTGGAGCTCGTGGGATGCTCTACGTGGTCCAGCGCTGAGCGAAGGATTGAACCTGACATGCACTCACAAATGCTCTTCCAATGTACCCCATTCTGAGTTTTACACCACGCAAGGAATCCTCATAAAAAGGGTGGAAGGTGGCTGGTACTACTTGGTTACGTACGAATTTCATGACAATTCTTCTATACAAGAAGATTACACCAAATATGTTATCCGCGGCAACCTGCAGTCGGTGAGATAGTGTTCCTGCCCTGATGCTGGTGCCGCACCAGTGGTGCGTCACGCACTATACATATCTCTTGAACAATGTGAGGATTTCGGGTCATTTTCACTATCGTATCCATCTATTCACCATTTGTTTCCATTTTTTCATATCTTGGTCTAATATCGCGTTATGTTCGTCGCTTATCGTATGCAAGTCTGCGCATTGATATGCGAGGTATCTAACGTTTTTCCACGAGCACACTCTTGCAAGCCTCGTTGTGGCTCGAGTAGCGATCAAGAGTGAAAGCTTTGGCTCATCACCTTGCCAATGACGAAATCGAGCGGCCGGTTGTGGGATGGGTCTAGACTCTAGAGCAATATGCTACGTTTTCTTTCCCTTGAATTCTGCGGATGTTGTTGCGTTTAGATATGAAGGCCACTTACTAGACCAACTCGGCTTCTCACGCTGCGACTCGGTCGGCCGGAGCTACTCCGACCGACCGAGAGTGCTCCAACGGATCATCTCATCGTGCACCTTTCTGTTTGAGGACTTCGAATCATTTCAAGACCCATCTTAATCCATCCTGGAAACCCTTGGGATCTCGTGAAACCATTGTGACCGTCACGTGAAACGTGGAGATTTGTATGTCTGTAGTCGTACCAATGCATGCTGCGGCAGTGTAACCCATCAGCGACAAATGCAACTCTTCCCTAGCGGGAATTCCCGGAAAGAAAGTATGATAAACCTTCTCGAGAATAATAACCACTATTCTTCCCCTAGTAGTACTGGGTAACCCAGGACAGTTCTGGCAGGACTGCACGGAGACTCACTGTCGGCGACTCATCGACGGAGGCTATGACTTCGAAAGGAACACGACAGGGAAAATCCTTCCACCACGCTGCCGGCGGCTGCCGCCCAAAATATGGCTCACGAGTGGATCAAAAATGGCTCGTTTTTAGCATTTTTGATCGAGCTCAAGGTTAGATCATCTACCAAGCGTTCTCGTCATCCTGCGAGACATTCACGGCATCATTACTAGTGGGGAGTGTCCACTCAGAAGAACTATCATTAATACCATCAGTGATGGCCCATCACTCCGTTTGTGTATCAGCAACAAGGCCATCCTTCACTATTGTTACCAAATACATTTCATAGGAAAACCTCGACCCCGACCATGCCCATTCCAGGTGTTGTTGAGTCAACTGAAATCTCATCAGCGCCGCGACGCGGTGACTGTGAAAACGTGAGATCCACGCTTTTTACACAGTGAGGATTCACGCCGTGAATATTGGTGTGCAACACACGTGGGTTCCGAACGAACGAGAAAACGATAGACTACTGCTGGCAGGTCTCTGTGTTCTGTTGCTCGCAGCGCGGTCTCAACTGTGTCTGCCCAGGAAACAAATTTAGTTGGGGTGCCGCAGCGGCTGCAAAAGATCCTTGGCGACCGTTGCAGTGACGTTGATGCAGCATTCGTATTGAGTACATATCGGTCACTCTCGTTCGTATCTCCTCAGATTTCCCTTGTGAGTAGTTTTGCCTGGGCCTGCGGCTGTGAACTAAAGTCTTAGCTCACCCTCTTACACGCGAGTCTGCAGTTAGCCCCGCGACTCCTGATCATGTCGCGGTTTGGGTTTTAATCCTCACCAGAGTTCGCCATCCTGCTTCGAGACCGCACGTCGCCGACGTCACGTCGGGCCACGACTTCTGTTGAGGTTGTCTCCGGTTCCCGCTTCGCGGAAGCGGGTCCCGGTTGGTGGTTCGGTCTACCTTCTGCTGTGCTCACTCGAACTCTGTGGTTGTAGCGAATGTGCGGCTCCCTCAACTGGGCGGGTACTGTCTAGACTATACCCACATCAACGGTTGTTGATCAAGTTCGTCAGATCAATCGGCTCATGAGATGCCTGTTTCCTTGGCACGTGACTACCGTGACGCGATTGCACATTCCTAAGAGCTAAAGAATTTCCTTCATCAGAGTGCATACTTCACTTGATCTACCCTCACTTGTTTGAGCATTCTATCAGTATTTCGCACTGTACCGGCATAGTAGAACTGCGCCATAGGGACCGTAAGTTATCGCGCTTGCGGGGAGGCAGGTAACTAGGCGCGAGTCTACACTGTGAGCTGCTCCCAGGCTACTTGGCAACTTTTTGTGCAGTTGTCATATCATCCCTGTCCTCCATGTGGGTCTCTTCAAAGCTTCTGTGTCTGTACGCTTTAAGTACAACTGCTAACGCGGACACCTATATGGGCCAACCGTTGAAGTTCTACAAAGGAATGAGATTTCCGTGGAATATTAAAGAAGTCCCCGAAAGCTTTGACCACAAGCTTCCGACTGTCAACTACACTTGGGACTACTATTTCAACTACCTTCTCAAATCTGGTGCAAATAGTTTTCAGCTCGGCGGATATGCAATCGCAGAGAATGAAATCGTGTTGGAGCCTGTGTTTTACAACCCTTGGAATAAAACTTATTTCATGTCTCTGAGGAAACAGGTGGATGCTGCAGGGGGAGAGATACTTGCTGACACGCGGTTTTATTTGCCCAAAACCTTTGATAAAGCTATGTTCTTGAAGAGTGCCAGCGAGTTCCTGAAAGATTACCCTGTTGACGGTTTTCAAGTGGGTTTGCAGTTGTCAACTGATCCCAGTCACTACCCAGTTTTGAAGAAGCTCATCGAGGCAATCAAGGAGCTCAACGTTACGGCAACTTTGAAGTGAGCCAGCAAATGCCTCAGAGCATGGGAGTACATGAAACATGGGCCATGTTCTGGTCACTAGCTCCAACAGTTATTCCGGCGCGCTAGGTTATCCATCTTACCAAGTGACTGGCAGAAAATGGATGGTATAGCAGAGATGGTCGATAGGGCCGTCATTAAGCTGAGGCCAGTTGTTCAGAAGGACGTAGAAGTCTTCAATACGGATCGTTTCGCCCAAGACCTGATCAAGAATGCTGTCAGAGTTGGCTTAAATCCCAATAAGCTCATCCTTGTTGTAAGTGTGAGCGACTTTCACAATCTTTAGTCCTTCGCTGCCGTGACTGTAGTACTGAGAAAATTACCGGGGACATCAGTGCTGTCTGCGAGCTGATAGAGAGTTTTCCTTGAAGTCACCTTCTCCATTGGAGGCAGTCTTCGTGTTTACTGTTACAGACCTGAGCTACTCGACTTAGGTTGTGTGGCGTAAAGTTCAACGTTGTTTTTCAGGTACCGCTACTCGCTAGGTCAGACTCCGAGAGCTCAGACTTAGGATACTCGAATGCGATCTACGACCTCGGAGCGGATCCAAGAGGGAACGGGTCAGCCTTCTTGAATGGGACCGGCTACTTTTTCTTCTCTCAAACTCGTGCGATCGAGAAGGTTGCCCTGGCCAAGAAGTATGGACTGCACGGCATTGGTTTGGAAGGCGGCGGCTCTTTCGCGAACGAGGATCTCTACCCCTGGGACGCAAAATCCCTGTTTCATGCCATTGCTTCATCTTCTGGACGACGCCTAACCGAGTAGTACTCAGAGAGTGGTGCTTCTGAGGTATGCCTCCTAAGCTGGGCCCTTATCATATTTCACTTCAAAGTCGAGCGGTTAGGTGTCACACCTTGGGTGTGTCTACAAAGTCCGAATTTTGTACGTGGTTCAATTATGGTAGATGAAGGTCCATTGGTGTCTTATTCGCTCTTTTTACTCCCAACTATCACCTACCCGACAGTATGTTGTGGTTCTTCCTATCTCTTCGTATGGAAGATGTTTCACTTCTCGAATGAGATTTCAAGTTGACAAAGTGCACATGCTGAGAAACGATTGCGACGGTTGCTGTTAGATCAATTACTACATTCAATGTAGTAATTGACTTGCTTCACCCCGTGATACGGGACCCGTATCCATGAGGGCGATGTGCCCCCAACATAGTGCCCATAATTAACTAACGCATGCGACGGGTGAAATGGCGGAAAGTTTCGTGAGACTTCATCAATGATACAAACTAATATATGAAGATCGGCTCGAAGGATATTGACGATAGCGCGAGTCCCACTGCTCCGCGGCTCTTCCAAAGCATGTGGAAAAACACCAAAACGAGAACGGATACGGGACTGAAGAAACTCATAACTTGGCAAGCGTTAGCTGAGATTGCGCCCTAGGGAAGGTCGTGCGTCTCCGCTGCACTGTCCCCTTCTTCTCTGGTAATCGTGAGCCCTTCTTGCCAGTGGAACAGATCATATGGGGTGGAGTCTCCCACGGTCTCATCGAAGTCAGCGATTAAGATTATCGAAGGTTTTTTTTGCGTAGATGAAACACTAACCCCAAACGAATGTCCTTGCCCGTGAAATTGCATTCGTCCGTTATGAAATTGACTTCCTCACCCGCGAAATGGATTGCCCTATCCGACCCCCATAGCTAAATCGATGTCCCTTTCCGCGAGTGTGATTTCCTTATCCGCAAAATTGGTAGCCTTATCCGCTGTAGTTGTGCAGAGTGCACAACTATGGAATCTTAGCTCAGCTCGAAGCTACACCTTTTAAACATCGACTTCGTTGCCCGGGACTTCAATTTCGTGTTACCAGGGCAATTATACCAGTACTCTCATCATGAGAGTCTCACGATAAGGCTCGTGTTTTGCTTACCGTGTCGATTTCCCTAAAGGGACGAAGTTGAAGGTCTGAAGGTGTACTCGACGGGATTGGAAGTTCTATGACGAATTCGAAGGTTCGAAAGTCGAAAGTAAAAGTTCTATTAACACGAACTTGAACTTCCTATCGTATTCGGACGAATTTGAATGTTTTATGACGAAGTTGAAAGTTCTAATTATGTATATGATCTTCCCGTTTCGGATTCGTACCTCCAACTTCGCGCGTCCCGACGAAATTGATGGTTCCAAAAACGAACTAGATGTTTAAAAGGTGTAGTTGCTGCTTTTATGAGTAAGATTGTTGATAGGATCTCTAGATTCCATTAACCATTGTCTTGAGTTCCCGGATGGTAACATGGTGGAGAACCCGTCGACAACTCCTTCAAGTCCCGTTGGTTTACAAATTGCTGAAGCTTTTGGTGTAGATAACGTTCATCTCTCAAGACATGGTACTGATGGACAGTTTACCAAGAACTGTGAGGAGATGTTCGCCGATAAGACAGCGACCTTCGGTGATATATTGGCTTGGTGTGGTTATATAGAGGGTATCAGAAATACCCGGTCCCAAATGGTTGACATGGTGGAGAACCCGACGACAACTCCTTCAAGCTCTGTTGGTTTGCAGATTGCCCCAGTCTTTGGTGTTGCTGTAAAGAACGTGCGACTTTCACAACATATTACAGATAGTGAGTTACAGAGTAAATGTGGAAAGCTGCTGATTGAGAAGAAGACACGTATGCACAGGTCTTGAACTGGTATGGCTATTCGCAGAGCGTCAAGCTCCCGGGTTCTCGGATAATGCAATCACCGAAGAACCTCTCTGTCGCTGGATGGTGTACCCGGTACACTGTACCGCCGATGATGGCTTTTGGGTTAGTGTAAAGCACAACTTCAAGGACGGTCTGATCTATTCTGGCGATGTGGAGAAAAGTGATCTAAGATCACTGATCTTCGACATTGTCAGTCTACTTATGAGATTGATCGTGAGCTACTTCTACCTCCCGATGATAGTCTGCTTTGTGACGAGGACGTTATGGGCACGATGGATAAGAGTGATACTGTTCTTGGCGTTCCCACCATTGTTGATAATGATGTTAATGATGTTAATGATGATGATGATGATGATGATGATGATGATGATGATGATGACTGCATCACAATCTTCGGATTCCCATCAACAAACTCTCAAGGTTAAATCTTATTCGTGATGCCTCTTGCTTACGGCTCTCTCTTGCTTGCCACTGTGATTGAAGCAGCGCTAGGAGTACTTGATACCCCTATGAAGATTACTGCTGACTATCCACCGGGACCCGGTGACCGGGTTGTTGTGGAGGTCCTGGTCCAGGGGAGGGAAGCAACATTACCGATATGCTAGCGCCTTCCTGCATTTACAACATGGAGGGCTACAAAAAGGATGGGGCGTATACCGGAGTTGCCGGGAGCATACTCAGCACTAACAGGCCTGGGCATTATGTCAGCATCGCACTTAACCTCATTGTGTCTCACCCGATCCGCGCCATAGAGCCCGATATCTTCGTGACAACGAATCGTTGGGCTCACCTCAGTGTCAGTGATGAAACCAGAGACTTCTGGTGGAACCCAGCCTCAGGCAATTACATCTTAGGTCCATATCCTGAAGTACTGTTTCTCGAAGTCACAACTATCGACTTTGGTACCCTCCCTCGTAACGTGAGCATTTGGAGCTCGTGGGATGCTCTACGTGGTCCAGCGCTTAGCGAAGGATTGAACCTGACATGCACTCACAAATGCTCTTCCAATGTACCCTATTCTGAGTTTTACACCATGCAAGGAATCCTCATAAAAAGGGTGGAAGGTACTGGTACTACTTGGTTACGTACGAATTTCGTCACAATGATTCTATACAAGAAGATTACACTAAATATGATATCCGCGGCAACCTGCAGTCGGTGAGATAGTGTTCCTGCCCTGATGCTGGTGCGTCACGCACTATACATATCTCTTGAACAATGTGAGGATTTCGGGTCATCCTCACTATCGTATCCATCTATCCACCATTTGTTCCCATTTTTTCATATCTTGGTCCAATATCGCGTTATGTTCGTCGCTTATCGTACGCAATCCTGCGCATTGATATGCGAGGTATCTAACATTTTTCCATGAGCACACTCATGCAAGCCTCGTTGTAGCTCGAGTAGCGATCAAGATTGAAAGCTTTGGCTCATCACCTTCGGAGGCTATGACTTCGAAAGGAACGCCGCAGGGAAAATCCTTCCACCACGCTGCCGGCGGCAGCCTGCCGCCCAAAGTATGGCTCACGAGTAGATCAAAATGGGTCGTTTTTAGCATTTTTGATCGAGCTCAAGGTTAGATCATCTACAAAGTGTTCTCGTCATCCTGCGAGACATTCACGGCATCATTACTAGTGGGGAGTGTCCACTCAGAAGAACTATCATCAATGCCATCAATGATGGCCCATCACTCCGTTTGTGTATCAGCAACAGGGTCATCATTCACTATTGTTACCAAATACACTCCATAGAAAAACCTCGACCCCGACCATGCCCATTCCAGGTGTTGTTGAGTCAACTGAAATCTTATCAGCGCCGCGACGCGGTAACCATGGAAGGGCGTGAAATCCACGCTTTTTACACCGTGAGAATTCACGCCGTGAATATTGGTGTGCAACACGCGTGGGTTGCGAAGGAGAAAACGATAGACTGCTGCTGCTGCTGGCAGGTCTCTGTGTTCTGTTGCTCGCAGCGCGGTCTTGACTGTGTCTACCCAGGAAACAAAATTAGTTGGGGTGCCGCAGCGGCTGCAAAAGATCCTTGGCGACCGTTGCAGTGACGTTGATGCAGCATTCGTATTGAGTACATATCTGTCACTCTCGTTCGTATCTCCTCAGATTTCCCTTGTTAGTAGTTTTGCCTGGGCCTGCGGCTGTGAACTCAACTCTTAGCTCACCCTCTTACACGCGAGTCTGCGGTTAGCCCCGCGACTCCCGATCATGTCGCGGTTTGGGTTTTAATCCTTACCACAGTTCGCCATCCTGTCTCGAGACCGCACGTTGCCGACGTCACGTCGGGCTACGACTTCTGCTGAGATTGTGTCCGGTTCCCGCTTCGCGGAAGCGGGCACCGGTCGGTGGTAGGGTCTACCTTCTGCTGTGCTCACCCGAACTCTGTGGTTGTAGAGCATGTGCGGAGACTATCCGCACATCAACGGTTGTTGATCAAGTTCGTCAGATCAAGGCACGTGACTCACGTGCCTGTTACCTTGGCACGTGAGTCACGTGACGTGACTACCGTGACGCGATTGCATATACTACATATCAGCGTGCGTACTTGATCTACCCTAACTTGTTTGAGCATTCTACCAGTATTTCACACCGTTCCGGCATAGTAGAACTGCGCCATAGTGACCGTAAGTTATCGCGCTTGCGGGGAGGCAGGTAACTAGGCGCGAGTCTACACTGTGA